ACCAAATCAACCAAGGAAGCCGACGACTCCGACTTCGGTGACGAAGACGCCCTCACAGCCAAGGAAGCCGAAGAGAAGGCCAAGCAGAAGCGCTCTCTCCGGTTCTACACATCTCAACTCGCCCAGAAAGCCAACAAGCGTAACGCAGCCGGTCGTGACGCGGGTGGTGATGCAGATCTACCTTACCGTGAGCGTCTAAGGGACCGCCAAGCCCGCCTGAACGCCGAAGCCGAGAGACGTGGTAAACAGAAACTGAAGGACTCCGAGCAGCTAGGCGGCGACAGTGACGAGGAAGACCACCGGGTCGCCAAGCAGCTCCGCGGCGACGAAGGGTCCGACGATGACGACTACTACGACATGGTCGCGGCTCGCGGCAAGCAGCGCAAGGACGACAAGAAGGCGCGCGCCGAGGCCTACGCTGCTGCGGCTCGTGAAGGCGGCCACGTTGAGATCCAGGAAGAAGTCGGACCCGATGGCAAGCGTGCCATCACCTACCAGATCGAGAAGAACAAGGGTCTTGCACCCAAGCGCAGCAAGGACTCTCGCAACCCTCGTGTCAAGAAGAGAAAGAGATTCGAGGAGAAGAAGAAGAAGCTCGGCAGTATTCGCCAGGTATACAAGGGTGGTGAAGGTCGTGGTGGATATGGTGGTGAACTTACGGGTATCAAGAAGAACGTTGTTAAGAGTGTTAAGCTCTGATTCTAGTTCTTCTGGTTCTGTTTCTTGGTACTGCGGTAGCACAATTGGAGACATACATTACGGGCGTTCAATGTGTGCGAAAATGGGTCTTTGTGTGTATATAGATAATCTTCTTCCCGATGATACAAACTTTTGTCTGACTGTTGATGATATTGCTAAAGTCAGCTTCCATCAGTAAAATAGACTGGCCGTAGCATAAAGCATTGATATAGATAAGGCACCGGATTCTAATAATACTCCTAATAGATATTAGTAGCCTACTATGATAGTACTGTAACACTAAGTAGTAGTAGTCGCTGGGGTGCACCGTTCCGTCCGGGTGAAGATAAATATATAATCTCGGTTGGCAGTCAAGAACCCGCACCAGATCCGTCGAACAATTTCTCCAGTCTATCTCTCATCAACTTAACATCACAAGGCGCAGACAGATCCAATGACAAGAACCTCCTCGCTAATCTGTCCTTAAAACATGACCAGTTAGCCTTTCGTTTCTCAATCGGGGGACGAGAAGTAGATAGACAAAGTATATCCTACTGCATCATCCAGAGCCTGCGTCTCTTGAGCCGAAAGGACAGCGCAAGCGGCAATCAGATTTTCACCACGAGCAGATAGTGAGGCAATTTCGTCTGCTCGATCGACTATTGTCTGGCTGATACCGTTCATTGCGGCGCATCTGTATCGTGCTCAGTTAGAGCATAAACCTGGATCCTTGAATCTTCCAGAACGCACATTGTTCCAAAGCTTTGATCGCTTCGTCCTAGGCGGAAACTATGCCATGCGTCTTAGAGTCTCCTGCTTATGATGGTTGTGCGAGGGTTGGCGCTATACTTATATAGATAGGTTATTTGATCATCAGCTTCGCCGGATTCTTCATGCACACGGACCTCCATGTGGCCGAGTTGTAACTGCGGTCTAGGTTTGAGATAACCGTTCGCGAGAATCTCATGAAAGTGTGTTGCAGCTATGACTTTGGGAGCATCTTCGCGATTCAGTAAGTGTTCGAGGACTCCACATGCCAGTCCGATGCCGTCTAAGAGTGTCAGATTCTAGCTGGTTATTCGGGGATGCAGGTATACGAACCATTCTCATTGGTGCCTTTGCCGAATTCATCTATCAACAGCAGACTCCGGCCGGTTACCTGCTTCAGGTCAAAGGATAGCTGCTGCAGATCGTTCATGAAGGTACTTTGTATCTGGATTACGTGACACAATTTAGATTTCTTAGTATAGTAGTCGACTCACCAGCTTACCTGGGAGACGCTATCTTGAGTATTTGACTTGACCAGAATTTTGTCGACAATTCCAAGCTCTGCACTTTCAGCTGGCACAAAGCTATACCCTTTAGTATAATAGCCTTGAATCGTTTGAACCGGGCGTTGCATACCTTCCCACCTGCGCTAGATAGACAATGAGAGCTACCTACATAGCACTTCATTAGCTAGTATCAATGGATGCCAGGGAAGGAGCTCACCTGCTTCATGTATACGCTCTTCCCAGAATAATTCGGCCCTGTAAGTAGTAGCATGCTTGGTCCATAGTCACTTTCGTGTGGGTTGGGTATTAAGTGAAGAGGCCCTGGCGGCTCTCCCTGTGTCCTTCTACCAACCAAAAAGGTATCATTGGGCACATAGGACGAAACCGTAAGCTCCTGTAGGATGTGTCTTCCCTGGTGTTAGCTCTCTGGGCACGCTAACGCGCCAGTTGTCTTACCTGCCGCCTCTGATCTTGATAACATCTCCTTCCACCATCTTAGGGCGCACCAACTTGTAAAAGCTGGCCGCTTGAGCCATTGCAAGCAGACTGTCACAGGTAAGATAATTCCATCAATCCTCGGCATCTATCATTTACCTGTCTATTTGCCCACATATATCTGATGCTTCCAAAAGCACCGTCTCGTATTGAAGTACCCTTTGCGCGAGATCATAAACTATCTCGATCTCCTTCTCTATCAATACTATCAGCTGCATTGACCACAATAGCGTATCGAAAACCGACGACGAACCACAGATTATGCCATATATGTCACCTAATTTCTCATCCATCTCCCTCATCCTGAAATCCTTAAAATAAGCTCTGTTCTCTGTGAAGAACATAAGGTCCCACTCCTCTTCGGCGCCCCTGTAAGCGGCGTCTCCCGCCTCATTGAGTGGGATCGCAATGTTGAAACCGAGTTGCGGGAAGTAAATGACATTGACATCTATGTCGTAGCTCTCGGGAATGGTTGTCGCTATCTCTATCGCAACCTGCTTCAAAAGGCTGTTCATACCGTCATACCTGTCCTTTATGCGATCCAGCTCCCTGTCTATCCCAGGTTTCACAACGGTTCTGCCCTGTTCCTCAGAGCTATCAATGTCGACCTGATATAGTCAGAATTGGTTGATTTCGGTGAGGAGTATTGTACACACTGTTTCTTGTATCATTCTTCCGACTTTGTACAATTGAGCTGCTTCGAAAGCACGTAGCGCCTGCAACATGGTTAGTCGGCTTTCGAGTGAGCGAATCAGATGAGGACCTTGTTGTGTAGAGCCAGATTAGCACCATCCGAAGTCTCTCGTAAAGCGTCGTGGATGTCAATTCCATAGAAAGCAAACTCATGCCATATTAGCTGGACATCATCACAATGTAAATGCCATGACATACGGCCAGTAAAGTAGCCCACACAGTCGCCTTGAACCCCATAATCTTCCCGCTTCCGGTACTGATGCCTTTTCGAAGGTTGAGCATCGCGTATTGGAGGTTCTTAATGTGCTTCAAGCCCTTGACCATCTTGTCCAATGGACTAAAGTTGTCAGCCCTATGATACACACTGATGAAGGAATTTCGCTCATTGATAACGTCAAGTTCCACGCTCGGTCGGAGGAACATCTGCTTTAGTCTGTTTCTTCCTTGTGGTGTAGATGCAAAGCGCTTGAAGAGACCATAAACTGAAAGCCCTTCCTTTGATGACGTTGACTTTCTTCCTGGGCCCTGATTCACCATGCTGGGATGAGTTTCAGATTCCATAATCTGGAGCGAAAGTAATGTTCTGCCGTTGACAAACCTACTTCGCTGTCAACGAATGCCTCACTGTTTCAAAGAAGATGAAGACTTACATAGTTCCGCTTAGAGTGAACATTTCCACGGATGATACTCTGAAAATTCCAGAGGCTCTCTCGCTCAATATCGACATGGAAGCTCGACGTCTTTATAGATAAGCGAGGATGGCACCAGCACATCCAATTGTCACTGTATTTTCCACATCGATGGAGCCGGACACATGCAGAAGCTTGCCTTCCTGCAATGTGAGGTCCAGATTCTCAGTATCTAATTGTTCACCGTCAACTAAACCATTGTGTGGCACGAAGAACTTGATGCGATGCTCATGTCTTGAAGATATATCTAAAGAAATAAGTTTGTTCTTTGCATTGGAATAGTTGAATTCTTGCGACGGACGGACGTCAAGTTGGTAGGGGACATAGGAGTGTGTATCTGCAATCATCAGATATCAGATTCTGATTAGACAGCAACACTGTGCTCCGCTAACCGCTAATTTGTTCATCCCACGGTCTTTCTTGGAGGTTGTTTGGATCCACACGGGGAGATATCAAGAGTACCGTAGGCTTCGTCTGGAGAACCACTTCGAACTCGTTAGCCGCTGGAGTCCAATAACGGGGAAGGGACAGACAAACAGCTATCGATTATATCCTTACTGGAATGGTGTAGATCGCCTAGGAGGTAGAGTTTCTCTTCCAGCGCAGAATAATAGGAACATCCGACAGTCCCTGAATCTCTCATATCCACTGCCATTACAATTTGTTCAAGTTCGTCATCGATGGAGTACTCAAACATGGCACTGCCAGATCGAAACTGCTCAGCATTGTTAGAGGTAGGTCCTCTTGCTCTTAGTGTCTCTTGTGAAGTGGGAGGCAAGTTGCCTGAAGTCCTCGGTCGTGGAAAGTCGTCATGGTTGGACAAGGGATTGGAAGAGTCGACATGGCGGGGATGTGTCGTACGTTTTCTTTTTGTTCGTGGCTCCATAATGCATGGGTGATTGCGTGTAGATTGAGCAAGTGTCTGCTAGGAGGTTCATCCTATGAGGCGCGGGAATTGGGAGAACACGCCTTCAAAGCGGCATTACTTTACCAGATCAAGTGACAGTCTAGAAAATTTACAGCACCGAGGAAGATAAAGGATTCGAAAATCTAAAGTATATATACAATTTAGTCGTCACATATGATACACTGATTATGCTATGATACATGAGTAAGAGTAGAGATCAAGTCATACAAGGTCATCATCTAAACACCTTTTCCAGACAATAGCGCCGAATACCCACATGTAAGAAAGAGCAAAGTGCGTAATGAATCTTAGGAACTTTCAGTTTCTGGCGTCACCGGAGCTTCTGCTGCTACTGCAAGTCCACTCTTGTCGGCATTGAACGTGACACGAGCAGTTTGCCCGGACGTGACTTCGCCGCGAATGATCTTATCAGCCAGCTTGTTGCCGATTTCTTTGGCGATTAAGCGGTTAAGGGGCCGGGCTCCGTATTTGGGATCGTATCCCTTCTCGCAGAGCCAGTCTTTGATTTCGTCATCAACCTTCAGAATCATTCGGCGGTCGTCGAGACGTGATTGCAGCTCCTTCACTCTGATATCAACAATATCCCTCAGAGCGCCGCGGGACAGCCTCTTGAAAATGATGAATTCGTCGATACGGTTGAGGAACTCTGGCGGATAGGCCGATTGTACGACATCCATAACCGACTTTTTGGTTTCAGGCGCAAGCTCGTTGTCACCACCTTCCTTGTAGGGGTGCAAAGGATCGGCGCCTACAAGAATGTCGGCACCGAGGTTCGATGTTAGAACAATGAGAGTATTCCTGAAGTCAACCTTGTGGCCCTGAGAATCTGTGAGGAACCCTTCATCAAGGACTTGCAAGAGCAAGGCAGAGATGTCGCGATGCGCCTTCTCGAACTCATCAAATAGCAGAACCGCGTAGGGCTTCCTCCTCACAGCCTCCGTGAGTTGACCGGCGTCATCGTAGCCAACGTAGCCGGCTGGAGAGCCGATCAAACGACTAATAGTGTGCTTTTCTTGAAATTCGCTCATATCAAACCGAACAACAGCCGTCTCCGTGGAGAACAAGAACTCAGCCATCTTCTTGCAAAGCTCTGTCTTGCCAACACCCGTAGGACCGAGGAACATGAACGAGGCGAGGGGCCGGTTTTCGCCACTAAGGCCAGCTCTTTGCATGCGCACGGCATTTGCAACTGCAGAAAGAGCCTCATCCTGCCCACGAACGGATCGACGTAGAGTGTCTTCCATTTTGATGAGCTTCTCCACCTCACCGGCCATTAGCTTGTTGACAGGGATACCTGTGGTCCGAGAGACCACGTTTCCAATATCATCGGCGGTGACGGAGTCGTGAATGAGACTAGTCTGGGCCTTTGTGGCTTGCTCTTCACCCTCTTTAGGAAGTTTGGCTTCGAGAGTAGGAATGGTGGCATATCTCAATTCACCCGCCTTTGCAAAGTCTCCTTCTCTTTGAGCTTTCTCCAACTCGAAGCGAGCACGCTCCAGCTCCTCTTTGGCACGCTTAAGCTCCTCGATTTCCGATTTCTCCTTCTCCCATACCTCGGTCAATTTTCTCGCTTCTTCTTGTTTAACCTTCAGATCTTCCTGTAGTTTGTCTCTTCTTTCGCGGCTACTGACATCGGTCTCCTTGCGAAGTGACTCCAGCTCAATTTGGATGGTAGTGATATCGCGATCAAGCTCTCTGATCACATCGGGCTTTGACTCCTGCTGCAGTCGCAAGGCGGACGCCGCTTCGTCGACCAGATCGATAGCCTTGTCGGGAAGGAATCGGTCGGTGATGTATCGGTTGCTGTAAGTTGCTGCCGCCACCAAAGCACCATCCGTGATTCGAACACCATGGTGCACTTCATACTTGTTCTTGATACCACGCAAGATGGATATGGTAGCGGCAACCGAGGGCTCCCCAACCTGTATAGGCTGGAATCGTCTAGCCAAAGCCACGTCCTTCTCAATCAATCTGTATTCGTTCAAAGTCGTAGCACCACAGCATTGCAGCTCACCGCGAGACAATGCCGGTTTCAGAAGGTTGCTGGCGTCAATACTGCCTTCGGCTTTTCCCAAGCCAAGCAAGGTATGAAGCTCATCAATGAAGAGGATCACACCCCCTTGCGCATCTTCGACCTCCTTAAGGACAGATTTCAGCCGTTCTTCGAAGTCACCTCTGAATTTAGCACCAGCAATGAGAGACCCCAGATCCAGAGAAATAACACGTTTGTCCTTAATGCTCTCTGGAACGTCTCCCTGAACAATTCTCTGGGCCAAACCCTCCAAGACGGCAGTCTTTCCGGTACCCGCAGCTCCGATCAGAACAGGATTGTTTTTCGTTCGTCTGGAGAGAACCTGAATGGTGCGATGGATTTCGGCATCACGTCCAATGACCGGGTCCAACTTGCCTGCCTTAGCCCTGGCTGTGAGGTCGACACCGAATTGTTCCAAGGCTGACTTTTCTGGTTCTCCACCAAGGTTCATGCGATGGGTACCTCCGGGAGGATGAGGACGGCCATTGGCATAAGTGCGTATAGGCAAGACGGACGGGAGTCGGGCGACATTCGTGATCCGGGTGGGCGCAAGTAGACGCAATGTCTGAGAAGGTTGGAGAAGGCGTTTCGATGACGGTAGGGAGGATGGCCGGAGAAGCCGACCCCGAGCGAGTTGTAACCTTGACGACATGGTCAAACAGCCGACCGTGTGCACAGTTGGGTGTGATAGCAAAAGGCACAACACTGCAGATCTTCAGTCGAGCTCCCGATATAGCTGGGGGGACCTATATACCTCGCCGGGACAGGCGGCCAGCCGATTGCCTCACAGGCGTCGCGAGGCTTCTCGAAGGCTCCACCGCACGACGAACGATGAGTGGCGGAAGCTCCCCCAAAAGGGCCAGCTAGCTCCGTCACCGTGCGGTCACATGACCGGCCGGAATGAGGGGCTCAGTTGGTGCCGCCGAAAAATTTCACTACTCGGACCCTCCGCTGAAAAAATACTTCAGAACACCTTTCCCCTCCTATTTATTCCTCCTTTTCTTCTCCTTTCCTTCTACTCACCACACACATCCCCCAAACACACATTCACAATGGGTTTCACTGATCTTGCCTCCGAAGCCGGCCTTACCCGTATGTTCACACTTTCCCTTTCTTTTTCATCATTTCCCTTTCCAATCTGCTCTCAGCAGTAACTAATGGTACCCCTCAGTTGCCAACAACTACCTGGCTACCAGGAGCTACATTGTTGGGTAAGGCACACCTTTAGGGATCCTTTCCCCCCTCCCCTTTTGCATTGGTACCTTTTGAAAGATTCTTCCTTGTTTGCATGATGAAAAGAAATTGGTCCGTGTTTATGAGGCGGCTTAAGACCCCGCTGCAAGATTAAACACAATGCGAGAAATCGCGCTTCTGATTACTTGGAAAAATTCTTCTTTGCTTTCTGTTTTCCGTCATTCATGGATACCTTCACTAGCGATGATGGTGGCATAAAGCTAACTGGAATATAGCGATGCTCCCTCCCAGGCCGATGTCGTGACCTTCAAGGCCTTCTCCGGTGCCCCTGACGCCGAGAAGTACCCCCACGCTGCTCGCTGGTACAAGAACATCGCCTCTTTCGAGGCTGAGCACGCCTCCCTTCCCGGCGATGCCTCCAAGCCCTACACTGCCTACGGCCCTGAGTCCACTGAGCTGCCCACCAACCCCAAGGCTGCCAACGACGACGACGACATGGACCTCTTCGGCTCCGATGAGGAGGAGGAGGACCCGGAGGTCGTCAAGGAGCGTGAGGCTCGCCTTGCTGAGTACCGCAAGAAGAAGGAGGCCAAGCCCAAGCCCGTTGCCAAGTCCCTGGTGACTCTTGAGGTTAAGCCTTGGGGTATGTTTCATCTCCATATATCGCAGTTATTGTATATGATTCTAACCAGTCACAGATGATGAGACCAACCTTGAGGAGATGGAGGCCAACGTCCGTGCCATCGAGATCGACGGTCTCGTCTGGGGTGCCTCCAAGTTCGTTACCGTTGGTTTCGGTATCAAGAAGCTCCAGATCAACCTTGTCGTCGAGGACGAGAAGGTCTCCCTCGACGAGCTCCAGGCTCAGATCGAGGAGGACGAGGACCACGTCCAGTCCACCGATGTTGCTGCCATGCAGAAGCTGTAAGCGGAACGTTGTTTAATGATGAAGATAAATGGCGTGATGATGGATTTTCTTATGCTATCCCACGGAAATATACTGTCATGAACTTGAATAACCCAAGCCGACTGGGGAGACACCCCTCGGCATAACGAATACCAAAAATCAAAAATACCCAATTAATACACTACTGGTGCAGATGTAGCCGATAATTTCGTAGATCAGTAATTTAACCCCTCCTAACAGTAGAAACCACACCAAGTGGGATGAACCGAACAAATGAAGTGCTGCCCAATTCAATCAAAACTTGGTTGGGCCTTTGGCGGGGGAGTTGGCCGGTCAATCCGGACCTGAAATTCCTTGCCAAGTGCAGAAGAGGTTCCATTGGTCTACCGTAGAAATCAGTTGCGCAGATTACCACATACAGCTAGCTACCTAACCAACCAACTAGGTAAGCTACTACTGATAGACCAGACCGGACTCCAAGCTCACGAGCGAGCCAATCTCGACCACGGTCCCCGTCCACCACCCCCGAATTCAGGACCTTTCTTGATACCCATTACTTTCTGGATTATCTCCACAAGATTAGTTACTGAAGAAAGAAACCAAAAATGGGATTCATCTCCCGCATCATCACACTCTTCGGCCTCGTCCTGCTCGCCCATGCGTACGTTGAACACCTACCTACCTGCATTGATCTCCCCACACTGCACCACATCATATCAAATCACTAACAAGACATACGTATTATAAATACTATAGAGGCTACTCCGCCCACGAACACACCATCCTGTACAGCAACACCGCAAGCACAGCAAGCGGCGGCACCGCCCTCCCGCTCGACATCGTCATCGAAGCCCTCGCATCACTAGTCCTTGTCTCGGCGGGACTTGTCCTCGGTGCAGAAAAGCTCAAGCCGATTAGTTGGAGTGAATGGGCGGGTCAGATTGAGCGCGAGGGTGGCGGGAGGAATCCGTATCGGAGGTTGGAGGAACGGTATGGGTTTTGGGATGTTAGGGTGAGTTTGACCCTACCCTTCTTTCGCATTTGGAGGAATGGGGGTATTGGGAGGATGGAGTTGTGAGATTTGGGACTGGGTTTATGCTGATGTGTTGGGGGTTCTAGGCGAAGAGAAAGGAGTTTGCGGATTGGATGAAGGGGGAGGTTCCTGTTCCTGGTAAGGAATGAGTTGAGGGGATTGGTTTTGTGGGGTTTTAGGATGGGATGGGTTGGGTGTGGTGTGGTGTTGGGTATTTATTTGGTTTGTATCATATATGTACGCTTGACTGATTGATGGGATTTGGAATGAAAAGATCTCTGATTGAATTGATATTGTTGCTTATGTTGGTTTGTCTTGGTGTGTTTTGGATTGGGTGTTGGTGGGTTCAAAGGACTTGATATTAAGCCATGTGCTTGTTCGGTTTGGTGGTCTACTGGTATGGATGCAGTATGTCAGGATGCTATAAGGGCGAGCATGGTATAGTCACTGACGCATCTATGGCTTGTTCAATTATGCTAGTATACAGCAGCGATGGAAAGTGGCGGGAGCAGATAAGATGCTGGCATGAACAGAATACTTGGTGGGGTAGGTTTACGCCTACACAATGCCTACCACTCACACACCAGTCTTTACTGTGACTACAATTGCCTCAACCTCTACAGTCTTACATACCCGCAGATATACTCTACGCCCTGAGCAAGAGAATGGGAGTCCAGAACCGCCCACACAACACGAAATACCCACCTGCAACGCGTATACCAGCATCGCACCCATCACTGACATCCAACATATCCAACTTTGCCATGGAGAATTCTTCCGTAAGATTAATAACGTTCTTCGCGCCCCCGGCTTCCGCGGATTATTATCCGTCATGTCGATTGGAATGTTGTCCGTCCGGCGAACGGCTCGGTCTAGCCCCGGAGCCCAGGAAAAGTAAGTGGGTGTGATGGATGGAGTGCCAATGATGGATGCATTCAATCATTCATGAGCTTGCGCTGCGCTGCACGGTACGGGATGGTGGCATGTAAGTAAAAATCTTGTGTGTGAAGTAGTCGTGTACATGTCGACGCGTCCATCCATCGATTTTGTCATCAACATCGTCATCTCTTGAGCGTTTTCAATGATGGGTCCGGGAATTATGTCCGGAGTTGGATATTGTAGACTCTAGGTTCCCCCCTTCCCATTTCAATAGGAGTTTGCGCGGGATGACGCGGCCGGACAATGGGGGAGGGTACTCGGTGTAGACACTGTTGACAGTCGATGCTATGTTAATGTTGCTTGCTGGTAGGGTAAGTAGTTAGTTGTGCAGTTTGGTAGCATTGGACACAGCAGGCATTGAGTAAAAGCAGGAAGTAGTCTTCAAACTTGTGGCAGGTGTCATCGGCCTTCACTTTCTTAGTTCATCCATCCGGGTTAGTCCTGCAGGTGACAATAGACATGCCACGCAAGAGTCAGTAGATCTTTGAATTGTTAGTGAGCGAATGATATTCCACATGCATTATATAGTGTGGTCAATCATCCATCGCAGTGGTATGCTCATCATGATAAATCTGGAAAGTGGTTGAGGCAATTCGGACCCCTCTTGCATGACACACCCCAGTTCTCAAATTTGGACTTTCCATTCGGTTCTATTTAAGGTGCTGTGTCGCAAACCCTCAGCCCGTCTTGGCTTCAATACCAGCTAACTGAGTCGTCCAAGACGGGAGGTCAAGAACATGTCCAATAGGGGGAATTTACTTGATTTAGCAGTTCGTAAACGAGGAAGGAGATGGTGGGACCGTGGGGTAAGTCGATGGGTTGATTAGTTGGGACTTGGGAAGGAAGAGAAACAAGCGCATGTCTAAAGCAAGACACGGACAACACAACGGCACACAGGTTAGGCCTTCTGACTGGTTTGAATGTAAGACATATCACGGTGACATGGATGGTAGAAGTCCTCTAAAGTGGTTCAGATTGTCTGGGTAGGATGGATCTGAGAGTAAAAGCGATTAATAACCAATAGTGATTAGTGAGGCATTATCCAATGGACATGGAAATAATAACGGGCATGGAGATGATGGATGCTCCAAATGGGTATGAATACGAAGATCTATTAGTAGTAGGTATCTATAGGTGCAAGCATGAGGATGACAAGTCCTTTTCTAAGTACTCCGTAGCATTTTACTGTGCTCTGTCTAGGTCTAGTTAGTCTAAAGATGGGGGAAATTGGTGGGCAATAATAGTCAATAATGAGGAAAAGCAACGTAACCCAACCACCGCTTCCAGCCTTACCCCGTAACCCCGAGAACGATAGGTCTTTTTTTTGTTTCTTCTTTCCCCTGCCTTCACGGGGGTAAAGACAGGCAATTTTAGCGACTACAAAGAAAATAAAACTCCGGACCATGGACCCTGTTATGTAACGTGTATGTGAGTTTTCACCGAAAGGACATCTCAGTTCAAAGGCTGGCGCCATCTACTACTTATTGATTGACTTCTCATAATAAATTAGTAGCAGTATTTATTCAATGCTCAAATTGGGTGGCGCCCCCACCAATTGGAGTGGAGGGTCTCAATCTCGACCGAATTAACGGGGGAAAATGGAGATGGCGTCCGAGGGTTGAGATTGAGACAAGGGCGGGATGAAGAGAGGGGCGGTTGAGCATTGGCAGGGTTAGAGAGAATTCTTAGCCTCGCCTAGATACTACGGGGATTTTTTCCTTCTTTTAACCCTTGTGCCCTGCCATGCGTCATGTTCATCCCTGGACGAAGGAGGGAGGGAGGTAGAGTTGAGTCGAGTATGAATTCAGTGTGTTCATAACTGCCCAGTTGATAGGTATGGAGTACGTGTGCGAGGCCCTTCTACCCTTGCATCACGCGGGTGGTAATTAAGTAAAATGTCCGTATCCGACCCTCTTGGAGGCCGGAGATTTGAGACCCCTGATACCGCTGTACCTTACGGTAGACTGGTCTGGCCTAGTGCCATGTCTTAAATGGAGGGGGGCCGGGGAAAAGTTAGTATGAAAGAAGAAAAGTAAAAGAAGAAAGAAAATAAATTAATAAAGAAAAGGATTGATCGACACTTCCCAAGTCCATGCACACCTCGCATCGGTTGCATACGTACGCTTTGCTCATGTAGGAACAAGACCAGACAGCAACTGTGCTCTTGGCATCTTGCAGGTCAACTATACTATTTACTAACTAGTTCTGTCCTTCTCTTATTTATGGTTGATGTTAATTATTTTTCCGGATCGGCTCTATTCCGGAAGAAGACCGAGAATGAAAGGTGCGTAGAAGTTCTTATGAGCCATGCAGGGGTCGAATCACGTTCTATTGTGCGGTGGTGCCGAAGGGCTCGTCATGATCTTACGTCAGGTATCGATTGTGAGGGTTGGGATGGATGGATGATGCGTCTTTAGGTGGTTTGTTACGTGGACAAGCAGGATGTGGCAGTAAATGAGGCTTGCTATCGGTTAAGCATTGCTGTTGCTACAGTATCTTCCATATCACCAGCTTGTCTGTCGGTCGAACCCGTCAGTTGTTGTTCTTCTTCGGAGTGGCGTGCCTGACGGCTATGAAAGGCTAGACTGGTCGGATGTACTGCCTCGTATGACAAGCTTTGAATGCGTGGCTGGGAAAGACAAGACAGGATAGGACAAGGCATTCATGCGGTGGCAGGCATGCTTCGTACGTTAGGACTTGAATAGTCTCTTTTGCCTTTTTTTCTGCAATTTGCCAATTTGGCTGGTCCATGCGGGCCGGTGGTGCGCATACCAGAGCGGCCCTAAGGATGGGTGACTCCGGTAATCTAAAGATTTAGTGGGAAGGGTGAAGGCCCGCCCCTTCAGTGATGCTGTGACTGTCCAACGTCTATTCTTCTCTGTAGTTTTGATTGATGTTCTTGTTGAGTAGATATTTTGTACCACTTGCTCCCTTGAGTCTAGGCTTGAAACCCTTCAAAACAAGGTTAGAATGAGTATCATGCCCAGGAGATATCCCTTAATAGAAACTTGATCAGTGACCCATTAAACTCAAAACAGATGTAACAAGAGAGACAACAACAACAACAAACAGATTGAGAAACTGGGCTTCCCAAATTTTCTTTGCTTTTCTCCCACCCCCATCATTAATTGCTTCCATTCCCACTTCGGTCAAGGGCGAGATTTGAACCCAGGTCGCATTCACATTATTCGAACCAACCGCGGTGGCTCCAGGCGTGTAGATCTATAGGACACGACCATCATTGGGCGGGGCGCCCGCAGCAGGAGTGGATCGCGGCAGCTGACGCTGTGTTCCGATGGCCTCCCCAAAAATAGCAAAACAGAGCAGAGGTATACGCAACCCTCTTGCGGAGGAGACCATTCAGAATGCTGACTAACTGGACTAGTGGCCCGTCTTGGGGCACTTGAGTTGCGCCATCTGATGATTGTTTACTCTCCAGTACGCCTTGGCACTGGTCTTTCCAGCATCGTCCTGCACGCTCGACGCTGGCTCGTCCCGCCCTCTCAGCCACGGGCAGCGACCCAGACTCATCCAGAAAATGCGAGTCGCGGACCGAGCTGCTGATGCTGCCCTTCACCCGGTGGGTCCCTTTTCCTCCATTGCCACTAGGAGTGTAGAGTGTAGACGAGGAGGTTGTGAAAGGTGTGCAGACAGGGCTGATGGAGATTGCTGAGGGATGAATGGCACCTGTTGTGTGCTGCAATTGCTTTTGGTCTAATTTTGGTTTTTCTTTTCTTTTTTTCTTTTTTAATTCCTAATTTATTATTATTTTTTGGGGCTTGAATTCCCTCTTTCCACTCCCCCTGCTTTACTCTATTTAAAGGATGCCCCTGCGCCTGTCAACCACTGCGTCCCTTTCCCTTCTTCCTCAAGTGATATAAAGTATCCCCCACGGTCGTTCCACGAACCTCAACAACTTTCGCTTCACCTCTTCACTTCCAAAGACACTCGCTAGTCTATCGATCGCCTTCGCACGATCCACCTTCAATCTACAACCCGAGCACTCAGATCTCGATATCACTCGCTAGCAAGATGCGTTCTTCCATCCTCCTCGTCGCTTTCTCGGCTCTCGCCGCTGCTCAGTCCTCCGTTGCTGTGGTAAGAAGCTCCCTAGTCCTATACTAGTCTTATGCTTGAGCGATTGCTAACATACAACCCCAGCCCCAGGGTCAGCCCTCCGCTGCTGTCACCTCTTCCCCTGTCATCCCCACTCAGGGCTCTTTGCCTGCTGGTGCTTCCAGCGCTCTTATTGGATCTAGCGGTGTTCCCTCTTCTTTCGCGAAGTCGGCCAGCGCCTCTGCTTCCACTTCCACCAAGACCTCCACCAAGACCTCCAGCTCCGACTCTTCCACCTCCACCAGCGACTCTTCCTCCAAGAGCGGCTCCAGCTCCAGCTCCAGCTCCTCTTCCGGCGCTGGTGTTCCTCTCGCCACTGCTGGCCCCGTCGGTCTTTCCGTCGTGGCTGGTGCTGCCCTTGCCGCTTTTCTGTAGATGAAGAGCGCAAGTGGTCTTCCTTGCCCTTAGAGGGAGTCGAGTCTCGACCGTCACACACACCCCACCCTGGTGGGAAAAGCAGATACCCATGGCGATCGAACCTTCCATCCATTCTAAGCCGCAAGGGTCAGGCGCTATGAAATCAAAGGGGATGGATGTTCTGCGGTTTTCTTTCTTCTGACATATGTAACATTGCTGGGAAGGCTTTTATTTCTTTGGATCTTCCTTTCAAAGGTTCACCGCGTGTTCACCAGAGATTCATAACTGCGGCGCACATAAGATTTCAGTTCTCTAGTAATTTTTAATCGTTTAATGAGGACATGGTAAATACACACATTACACAGGGATATTCTGGAATGCCGAGATCGCCCCTTTCATTTTAGATCCAACCACTTGTAAGTCTGGAGCAGTGAGAGCTTAAATCGAAGGGGTAAAAAGCAATTGACTAGACACTTAAACGTAGATTCCATCCCAAGTCAGTTGTGGGACCTACCGTTCATGGCATGGGCTTGAGCCTATCCACAACCCCAGATCTAATGCATTGACAAGTCTTGCGCCACCCTGAAAGAGACTAATCAAGATGTAATTTCGAAACCAACCGTTATAGAGGCTCTTAAACGGCCGCGTTTCCAACTTGTAGTTTAACTCTCACGTGCTTTGTCGTACTATTTTGCAGTCGTCAAGCATTCATTCTATAGTCACTTCTTGTCCTGACTGATGTTTGACTCCAGCGACCTCAACTCTGCTATAACAGACCAACATTACTCCACAAGATGAACTCTCAGACCTCTAAAAGCCTACTAATATCGCAAGTAGAGTTATACGCACCTCAGGCTACTGCATGCCATCACGCCATCAAAAAGTAGTAGTCTACTCTGTACAGTAGGACGCTTGCATTAGCTGACTAGTAAGTAATTGAATCTAGTGCTGCTATCACCTCTCGTCGGGTTTAAGCTAGTTATACACGGCTATTGAACTGAAGAAGGAACTATATCATCACTACCTTGTGGGTTTTCCACCACTCATACTGGCCCCAAATTAGACAGGGACGGGTGAATACTACAAATAAACCTTGCCTGTCTTTCAAAATGAGAGAAAGGGAAGTAGAAGTACGTAGAGGCAGCCATAGTAAGCGGTTGCTGAGGATATCGGGTCAGACTTGTGGCTATCTATCTAGATCCTTGAGCTCTTCGACATAGGAGATGATGGAGGGGTAGGATGGCCATGTAGGTAGCAGAGGATCTGGTGGAGTGTTTGGCTACGCTGAATGGTCTGAAGGTTGCTGTATACAAGGAGATAATCGAAGGTCGCATAGTTTGGCCGCCATCATGAGGATACAAAGTAGTGATATATCAACTTACCTTCATACCTATACTGAAACTGATGCCGGTAGGCTAGATGGTCTAGTTGGCAAGGCCACGGCACTCGGAGAAGAGGCTAGGTTTTTTGCCCACTGAGACCGGGTTCGATCATGACTTTGCGCCCTTCCTTTTTTCTTTGTTTCATTCAGTTGCTTAGCTACCTAGCCATGATAGTCCTGGTTCGCTTTGAGAGAATCAACGGCCAACAGGACTAGATCGTACGTTTGGCACGGCGCCAACAAGAGTGGCTAGCTTTTTTGCCCCTAGCTTTGGGATCAAAACCGATCCTGCGCTCTTCTTTTTCTCTGTTACTTTGTTGGGCCAGATCCGCCAGTTGCCTTCATCCAACAGATAGGCTACAGTGGCAGTTCCCATCTGTTAATTATGCTGCTCGAGTTTGCTGCTCTTTCTCGATGCTCCAGTAGTTAACTCTTATTTATGGGGTGTCATGCCGTAAGCAGCTCATTACATTTCCTAAAACGCGCAGTTCAGACGCGAATACACGTGACTGATCCACGCGCGCTGTTTCCTTACCCGATGTGGACTAGTGAACAGCGCTTCACCTCATCAAAACAAAGAACAACAAGCGGCCGTCGGGGGCAACGGATCGGGACCGAGCCATCATCATCCACCTTGCTGCGAATCAACTCTCGCCTTGCCCGGCTCTCACGGTCCACAAAGGGATCCTCGTCTGTGTCACTCGCCTAGATCGACAGGGGCAGCTGGACGAACAGACCACGGCACAACCATTGATTCCACACGAACCTAGCCTCTGCTAGCAACGCAACACCTTCGGCCTCAAATTTGAGGTCGACGTCAATTAGCCAGTATGGTAAGTTACCTTGCTGTCCAATGCCAATCAACCTTTCCTCGATTGAGCGACGATCGTCTGACATCCTCGTGTTTTCTCTTCAGGTATCATCTCTACGACGTCTCGCAGCGGACCATGCAGCGTTGCACGAAGAACTCCCTCCCAACTATCTCTTTCCCTCCGACGATGCCTCTGCCGGGGACGACTTGACACAGCTCACCACCCTCCTGGCCGGGCCACAGGGTACACCATACTCGCAGGGCCTATGGCGATTGCATCTGAAGATGCCGGAGGACTATCCTAAGAGTCCACCAAAGGCCACATTCAGGACAAGGATATGGCATCCAAATGTAGAGGAATCGACGGGTGCGGTCTGCGTGGATACACTGAAGCGGGACTGGAAGCCCACCTTGACTCTGAAGGATGTTTTGATTGTATGTATCCTTATCATATACCGTCGACAATTCCTGATCCTCATCTGACATGGTTCTTAGACAATCTCCTGTCTCCTCATATATCCCAACCCAGACTCCGCACTGAACTCCGCAGCCGGCGCACTTCTTCAAGAGAACTACGATGCGTTCGCCCGTCAAGCGAAACTCATGACCTCCATCCATGCCCCAGTCCCATCAGACTTGGCTTCAGCGGTATCCGAGGCGAAAACGAGAGGTGAAGACGCCGACACAGTCATCCCAGAAGAGCAAGAATTGTCCCGCTCGCTACGACCACGAAAGGGTGCCAGAATCGCCTCGGTCACTATGAAAAAGCGAACAACTCGGAGGAGTGCCGCAGAGAGCTCGAGCTCACGGGCACTATCTCATCAACCTAGCACACCAATTGAACGAGAAGCACAGGAACCAGAAGAATCTCACGACACCATCACCCTTGATACGACCGTCTCCGACAGTGAATCAGAAACATCTACCAACGCCAGTAAAGAGAACGACCCTTCCCTATCTCCTTCCCCAGTCCGACTCGCACCACCTAGCATCCGCAGGAACGCATTCGGAAAACGTCCCCTTTCCGTCCTAACCGTGCCAATGGACGTAGACGACCCCTTCTCCATGGACACAGAAGACCCAACAACAGGCGGCATGTCTGCGTCCGAGAAGAACATCGCAGCAAATCATCCCAACGAGCTCCCGGAGCGCGGCCACTCTCCACAGAGAAAGTCCCCGAAGCTGTCCGTACTCGACAAAGGCATCAACTCATCAGGTCGGATACGCGAGGATGTCCAGATTTTCGAAGACGATCCCGACCCTGCCGAGCTAGGCTTCATCAGACGAGCCAGCGGCGACGGCAAGGAAAATCCCCGAGCCTTAGCCGGTCTAAAAGATACCGACCCCGCAATCCGGATGTCTAATCCAAACTATCCCCTCACGATTCTTGCCCCCTCGGCATCGAGATCCGTCTCCTCCGGCTCGCGCCTATCAAAACCAATCACGGGGTCACGAAAAGTCTCATCCTCGAACGGCAAAAAAGCCAAACCGCGCATCGGCATTCGCAGACTCTAGACATACTAATCACCACTGCTACTTATACCCACGCCTGTATCTTCTCAATACCCTCTTTCTATTCCCTTCCGCTACCTTACTACATACCATACCGCTACCACCCTTTAATACCTAACCGAACATAGCCGCAACCACCCATAAACACAAATACTGAATGCATTACCTTGTGAATGAACTTCAACCATGACAACCTTCAGCGTCATCACGTGCAACGAAAAAACTAACCCCGACAAAGGGAATGGATACCTCCTATCACATTGATTACTACATTACCAGGCATAGCTTGTCCCCGTTTTGCATATCCCCACAGCATGTACCGTACAATTGCTTCTTTCCTGCTCTCATAGCCATTGGTATAGGCATAGGCATAACCACACATAGCGTGTCCATACTTCATACATAAAGACCAACGATCATACATTGGATGGATCAGTACATTACAATGAATACAATACGTTGCTACTTTCTTACCCTCAATTCTTCAGTTGCTATGATACTAGGCATGACTGGATAGCTCATGAGAAAAAAGAAAATAGAATAGAACAGAACATCTCGTTATCAACCTTCAACCTTCAAACTTCATGAATTATGTTTAGAGTAGTACCTGGTAGTGCCAGTGCTTGCTCAATAACTCAATAATCGTCTTTGGTCGTTCTGATCTCTACTCCTGTATATAAGGACCGCGCCAGCTCATGGATTTCCGTGGCACGCGGTTGCTACTTCGTATGCTATTGTTCACTATTAGAGGCCGATAGGACTTAGCGGCACGCTCCGCGTTAGGCACCCTATCAATAGGAGCGACACTAGCTATGTGGATCAACTATGATGCTAAGGGCAATGTGTATGGTGATCACATGTTTAGTTGGACTACATTGTAACACCTACTGGCCTGTGCCAAAACCATCAAACAACTTAGTAAAAATGAGCTATGCAAATATCTAGGATGAATAGACAAATTTTCCGAGGCAGCCCTCGCATCCGACTTCCCCTCAGTGCAATCGATAAAGCCACACCTCGTCTCATCCCACTCCCGGGTCTCCTCGTCTTCTCTGCCCCCAAATGGCTTGTGCCTAAATCCGAAAGCCTTGCAAGAAGACCAGTATACTCCACAATTGGTTATCTGGAGCTCTTCCTCCATGAGGCCATATCGCGGGACTAATTTGAAGTCAACTCGGAACAAGAGATCCACCGTTTGGCTTATAAGGCCTCCAGCAATTATAAGATAAAAAAGACAACACGCTAAGTCGATTAAGCATAATACTGCAGAGGAATGAGAGGTTTATGCAACGGTAAACCAGTTCAGGCGATGTTGATAGAATCGAGCCGCGGGGTCACACCATCACACAACCACCCTGATGGTCCACCAAGCAAAGACCAAAATCTGTTTCGCAAACGTATAGAACACATCCGGAGAAGTGAATATTTCAGGCCCATCTACAATGCGTAGGGGTTGACAGAACGAATAGTGAGGCATCTGCAGGCACACGTTAGCTTTCAGCACGAACTGTCATGAGTCGCAACAAAAGCGAAGACAGCACTTACGGGGGACTCTTGCTCAAGTCAGTCTTCAAGATGATGGGGACACGGGTCATCTCGGTGACATCCTGGATGTATTCTCCATCTTCTTCCCTGAGCTTGAACAGCCGCAGGTATTTCTCCTTGTTTGTCAGCTTAGCTTCAGGAGCATCGCCACTGAGGGTTGCGATCTTCGGGTCAGAACGCGTGCGGTGAGGCGCCTGCTGGAGATGACCATTGCGAGTGGGCGAGGGCGGCATGCTCTGAGTTGAACGGTCAGCGGACGAATTCAATGACACGCCCGCAGCCATCTCGGTGACTTCAGAAACATCGTCGTCATCGTCGTCAAACAGAGCATTGACATCATCGTGGGACATGGTGCCGGTATCCGTCTGTCTCCGCATAGCTTCTTCGCGCTCCCGGGCACGTTCTCTGGCAGCTTCTGCTTCACGTGCTGCAGCTGCAGCTTGAGCCGCACGGGAGTTCGCAGGCTTGGGCCGCTCATCCTCAGGGACATAAGCCGAGGACGGCACGCCCTTCTCCCAGTAGAGCTCCAGCACACGCGTGTCCTTGCGATACTCAGCCTTCTTCAAGGGCAGTTGATCACAGTGGACCCGCTTTTCGAAGCCGTACTCTGGGATCAGGACGTCGAAGGCGGACTCGTATACACAGATCACAATACCCTCGCTGATGAGGTCCCCACCAACTTCCTGTCGTTCCTTGTCCATGCTTCTGCATGCTTCGATGTGAACGCTCTGTTCTTGAGCATTGTGAGCGGAATCCTTCTTGTTGTTGCAGAGGTCGGCGGTCTTGGTCAATGACTCCAAGTCATCAGAGAATTCAACCGCACCATCAGACAGGACGGCTTCCAGCTGGCGATGAACGACGATATCTGCGTAGCGGCGGAAAGGATTGGTGAAATGTGTGTACACAGGCAGGTTCAGAGTGTAATGTTGACGCTGATCATCCTGCACACTGCTGGCCACATAGTACTTCGCACGTTGCATAGCCTTGTGCAGAATAGTCTCCATACCCTGCAATCATTGTTAGTAGACCGGACAATAGCTTTTTCTAATATGACCACGAAACTCACCTTACGCAAGTCATCATCCTGGACTTGGCAGAGACTGCTCTGCAAAGTTCCACTGCTGGTCGAATCCAGACCATAGCCGAGTCTGTTCATCCGCTCAACAAAGAGGTGGAGACGGCGAGGGTTTGGCGACATCTGGCGACGCAGGAAGGCCTTGTCGGGCAAAGCAGTGACCAACTTGCGTGCCACAAGGAAGTTGGCCTTGTAGCTAAGCTCTTCCACGAGTTCCCGGACAGGGGAAGAGTGGAAGATGTTGTGCTCAACGGGCACATTTTCGTCATCCAGCTGATACAGCAGACGAAGAGGAGGAATACGAGAGACCCGGTTGCCGAGCCTTGCCTCCCTGAACTTTGACGTGACAGCGTACAACGCTCTGAGAGTGTCGGCAGTGATGCCAGGGACAGCGAGAGCAGACGTGCCCTGGATCGCGGCATCGACCTCATCATAGCTGAGTCGACCAGAGCTCTTGATGATCGCCTTACCGATCCAGACATCATCGTCGATAGCACCGGTCTCGGGGTTAGCTTTGAACACAACGCTAACCGTGAAGCGGTCTTCGCCGGGCAGCAAAGCGCAAAGCTCATTGGAGACACGCGTGGGTAGCATGTTCACGAGGCGGTTCATGAGATAGACAGCAGTTCCCCGCTTCTTGGCCTCGCGGTCAACCAGGGAGTTGGCTTTGACAAAGTGAGCAATGTCAGTGACGTGAATACCAACTTCCACCTTTCCATCAGCGAGAGGCTTAATATGGAAGGCATTGTCAAGTTCCTTAGTACCGCTAGGGTTGACGGTGAAAGTAGTTTCCTGACGGAAATCGCGACGAGTGGCTAGGACGGCGTCGTTCTCATTGGAAACAGACCAGTCATCCCATCCAATACTCTTGAGCACGGCATCGGAGAACTCATCAGAACCGAAGTTGTTGTCCCGAAGAAGGGCTTCAGTCTCCACCTTCAGATCGCCCATCTCTCCAAGCTGCTCGACAAGAGTACCAAAGGGATGCAGGGAAGTGATCGGCCACCGCTTAATGCATGCAACGAAGATGCGGTTGGCGTACTCTTGGTGCTTCTCAACGAAATCCCGAGGAGCCTGCTCGGTTGGGATAGCAATCAAAGGAACACGCTTGTCAGTAGGCTTGAACCACACGATCTTAGGCTTGTCCTGCTGGCGTTCCTGTTGCTGACGACCGTGGCCACCATCTCTGGCCAGCCGCTCGGCCTCCTGCTTCTCCTTCGTCGCCTGGCTACTGGGACGGAGGAGACCAAGTGTTCCCGAGAACATCTGCCCCGCAATGCGCTCGATAACAGCCACGATGTGGCCCGCATACAGTGGCTTCTGCTCGTCACTGATTTCGTCTTCTTCAACCAAGAGAAGGCTCTGACCTTCGACTTCGACATCATCGTTCTTCTTCTGGGTGGGCCGCTGGCGGAGACTGCCACGGCGACGGATGCTACCATCCGGTCCAACCTCCTGACGATCTCCGTTGGCGCCAGAGTCAGACCGAGACAGCTTGTCACCCCCAGCACTGCTGCCGGCACGAGCCTCGGTAATATCTTTGCGCTTCTTCTTCTCCTCCTTTTCTTTCTTCTGCGACCAGACTTCGTCCACATCCAGCAATTCAACGGCAACAAAGTCACCCTCGAGGGCACGGTTACGGTCCTTGCTACCACAGATGAAGATATCTGCGTCCAGGTCTGGAGTGGTTACGTAGGCATCGGAACGGTTCTTCTTGTTCACGCGAAGAATACCGGCGACCAACTGGCCATTGCTCAGCAGCGCAGGCAGGTTTGCCTGGGGCAAGTAAGGAGTGAAGAGGGTCTTGCGCTGCTGCTGCTGCTGTTGTTGCTGCTGCTGGGCAGACAGCTGCGGCGGGGCATGTTGACTAGCCTGAAGACCAAGACCTTGGCCGTTCAGCTGTCCATTCTGCTGGAGGGCCTGAAGCTGCGCAAGCTGCAGAGGGTTAAGTTGCTGACCACCGCCGAACATCTGTGGTGGGGCCATGACCACCTGGCCTTGGGGCAGCTGAATGAGCTGGGGCTGTTGCGGGTACTGGAAAGATCCAATGGAGCCAATGGACTGATTCATTGAAGCACGAGCACGGTGGCCAGGCTGGAAACCCCCGCTCTGTTGACCGAAGCTCTTGGGCTGATCCTGGCCCTGAGCTTGATTGTTGGGCTGACGCCAATTACCATCAAAGTTTCGGGATGAAGACCGCGCGTGACCCGGTTGGCTGCCACGACGTTGATTCTCGCCGTCGCTAGCTTGAGGAAATTGGAAGCCGCCAGCACCACGACCAGACAAAGAACCGCGGTTTCCACCCACAGCCATGGATTGACTGCGACCATGACCACCCGCCCGAATGTTACCGGCCCGGTGAAGGCCCAAGCCTTGTGGGGTC